GTAATTTGACACCAGTGAGTACTGCCGTTGTTGACATCAGTCAAATTGAAGCCAAGTGATACTGGATTTTTGGGACTTTAAAATTTCAGTATCAATATATTGATGTACACAGATATTCCTTCTGAACACGTGAAATTGAAAAAGAAAACGATGGGGTTATCGTTTGTTAACCTTCTATCAATGTATTTCGCAATCCACGTAGCAAATTACTGTGCAAACACCACTGTCTGCTCAGCTGTGACAGATACTCTGCTACATGTGCTGCAGAAAGTGCTGTGAGCCAAATTATGAGACAATGGTTTTTACTAAATTACGACAGCCTGACCGATTTATCAATTGAATGATATCACCGACAAATATTAGCCAGTCACTGATATATCGGCATTGGCATATATCAGGGGTCTCGAACTCCGGTCCTCGAGGGCCGCAATCCTGCAAGTTTTAGATGTTTCCTTCTTCCAACACACCTGATTCAAATGATCAGCTCAGCATCAAGCTCTGCAGAAGCCTGATAACGATCCTCGAGGACCGGAGTTCGAGACCCCTGGCATATATGTTGTTCAATATGCACTGAAATTAGATATTTTCAGTTTGTTTACAGTACATGAAACAGAAGAGGAGGCTTTAGGTAACTTAGAAATGGTGTCATCTCACAGTTTGTCCAGTAAAGCGGCTCCGACTCCATTCTTTACTCTCAGAACTGTTTACAGCACATGTAGCAGAGTATGTATCACAGCTGAGCAGTCAATGTGGTGTCTTTGCAGTAAGCTGCTAACTAGCTTTTGAAATAAATTGCAGCCAAGTCAACGATTACCCCATCATTCACCCTTCTCAATGTTATTCTAACATATAAGAAATATTGACCAATATGTCAATCTCAAAGGCTGCATGGTGGCTCGGTGGTTAGCACCGTCGCCTCACAGCTAGAAGATCCTGGTCCCGGTGCGGACACCGGGATCTTTCTGCATGGAGTTTGCATGTTCTCCACGTGCAGTGTGGGTTCTCTCCGGGTTCTCCGGCTTCCTCCCACACAGTCCAAAAACCTGTTGAGGTTAATTGGTGATTCTAAATTGTCTGTGGGTGTGAATGTGAGTGTGCTTGGTTGTCTGTCTCTAAGTGTAGCCCTGTGATAGACTGGTGACCTGATATCATTATATCTGCAATCAGGCAATATCGGCCAATAAAATCAGCCGACTGATATATTGATCAGTCTCTACAGGTGATGGAACCAAATGTTGGTAGTCTCTTCAATACGATCTGTTTTTTGTTTAGAAGTATGAAAGTGACAGTAGGTTTCTTTCTACCTGTGCACTATGTCATGACGCTTTAATAAGCGGTTGCTGTTGCGGAAATGAGGTTACAGAGGAATGCATGTAAACTTGGGTCTTTGAGGACGACGCTCACTGGAAGGCTCCTAAAGGTTGCATTTACAGTCATCATGAAATCTGAGGAGTTGATGCTTGTACAGTACACAGCCGGGCTGTTTGAGTCCACTGTCCTGCTCTGTGTTTACTGAACTGCATTCTCTCCTATTTAATGAGGCTTCACCATGTAGCTGATATGCTACTGGAAGATCCTTCATAAGAACATCCATCCATCTTCTATACACCGCTTAATCCTCACTAGGGTCGCGGGGGGGCTGGAGTCTATCCCAGCCGACTTAGGGCGAAGGCAGGGGACACCCTGGACAGGTCACCAGTCCATCGCAGGGCTACACTTAGAGACAGACAACCAAGCACACTCACATTCACACCTACGGACAATTTAGAATCACCAATTAAAGTTTTTGGACTGTGTGGGAGGAAGCCGCAGAAAGATTCCGGTGCCCCCACCAGGATGCGAACTGGCAACCTTCTTGCTGCGAGGCAACAGTGCTACCAACTGCGCCACCTTGCAGCCCTTCATAAGAACACTGACGGTTAAATAAAGTCTTGTAGTATTGATCGGCTGAGCAGTGAAATTATTTAGCTAATCTGTCCCTCGCTTCGACATCTGACAGAAAGTTTTGTCACCCTGTTATTTATGTGTCACATTTCTACACCATTTAGATTTGCTTCCAGTCTTTGCTGTTAGATAATTTGAATGTGCAAATAAACAGAAAACTGAAGTGAAGCTGCATTCAGAAGCACAAATCCAACTTAAAATTGATTAAAAAAAAGAAAAAACAAATTAGTTTTTGTCATGAATAGCTCATGTATTTCTTGTGCTTTTGCATGACATGTGTTTTTGTGAACACATGAACGCTTGTGTACATGTGAGTGTTTGCATATCTGTGTGAGCTAGGAGTGGTCCACCGCCCCCCGCCCAGTCCCCTGTGGAATCAGGAAGCGCCTGACAGGGTCAAAGGTGACGGTGCTAAACACGACTCAGCAGAAATCGAGAAGAAAAGCAAAACTTGTATTCTGACCCGCACACACACACACACACACACACATTGCTCTCTCCCTTCTTTCTATTTCTGCCAAACACAATTAACACACTGTTTTCTCCGTTTTTCTCACTCCGTCCCGCTTATCTCTCCCTCTCTGTTTGTGTTATTTTCTTCTTGCTTCCTATGCTACTTCCCTCCCTTCTTCCTCCCTCTTTTGCGGCCTGGCCTTCCTCAGCTCCACATTCCAGCTGCGTGTCTGTGTGGGTTTGTGTGTCGAGGGGAAACAGTGGCACAAACCCATGCATGTGCTCCGGCTCTGAATTCTTTACGTGCACCGTTTTGAAGTTGTGCGAGTGTTTGTAGTTTATTTGTTTGACTTCATACAGAAGTACACAGATGTGAATTTGTGTCAGCGAGTCTGTTGAGGGTTCGTGTATGTGTGTGTAAATTATTTCTGTAACTCTGGCATACTTTTGGATGCTTCCTGTGAGTGAGTGAGTGTGATAGTGATGCATGTAGACATGAATATTCATGCTCATGTACCACATGATTTATATTTCATACAATTTATATACTGTAATGAGCTTAGTTGTCTTTTGGCGCACCGCACTTCTTTTTATGTGCATGTCTTTTTTCTTATATTCATCACTGTGGCTGCAACGAGTGATTTTTTTTGTTATCAGTAGATTTTTCTTACTCTTTTATTATTATTATTTAATTGCTTCAACAAAAGGCGCATTTATTTATATAGCAAAATGTATCCACACGACAGCTTTACAGACGTTTCTGCTTTGAAAAATATTGAAAACTGTAAAAGATTCACACATTTTGATTGCAGCTTTACATAAATGTTTCTCATTAAAAGTTTGATTAAGAATTGTTTGAGCATTTACTTGTCATTCAAAATAGCTGAGGCTGTGGTGTGTTTTCATTGCATGGGTGGGTCAGTGTTTGCATGTCTGAGGGAGGAGTCATAGTTGGCACGGAGACAGGAAGATTAAACCGGAGCGAGAATATTTAAGTGAGGAAAGGGATGCTTTTTCCGTCGCTCTCCGTCTGTCTGCCTGCGTCCCTCAGTCCTCAGGGAAGTCTTAGAAATGTCAGCCGTCAGCCCATGTGTGTGCGCGAGGAGCCGCTGTATGAGTCAGCAACCTAACCCACATAAACCCACAGCGATACAATAAAGGCGGAAAGTGATTAAGATGATAGAAATGTTAGTTAATCATCTTTCAGAGGACTATACTAATGAACAAGACAGAGCCGGGGAGCCTCCTCTGTGGCTGTCATGCAACATAAAGCGGAGAGATTGTAAAAGACAGTTGCTACAGTATTATCTCATTGCCTTTTTGTCTGTTTTCTTTCCCCATGTTTCTGTTTATGTGAGCGTGTAGTATGTTTGTGATCACTATCTGCCTCTTTCTGCTTCCTCCTTTCTCTCCCTTCATATCTAAGAATTGTTTTTCTTCGCCTCCTCGCACATCCATCTCTTTCCTTTTGCCTTTAATCTTGTTTCTTTCCTCGTCAGCGCTGATTAACGATAGCTGCAGGGGAGCGATAGCATCTCTGCTTCTTTTAACCTCTTAACTTTCCTTTTCTTCTCTCTTTTCTTTTTTTTTTGTGCTTTTTTTAATCTCCTGTTTACCTCTGATCTCACCCATGCGCTCCTCTCTCTCTCTCTCAACGCTTTGCTACCTGTATTATTTTTATCTGTGGAAACACTCCATGACTTGTGCGGCGATGACCTGGCCGCTGTTCAGGTTGTGTGTGACGCATTTTTAAAAGACCCTCGGGGACATCGTTGTGACATCACACACACTTCTAATGGACTCTGCTTTAGTCTGACTCAGGGCCGGTCACGTCTCGTCTCCCTCAGCCAGGACGGTTGTGATACTTACCTGCCAGCACACTTCTGTAACACATCTACAAAGATGACACACATATGCTGCTGCAGTCAGTCCTGGTCAGTCAGTCGGTCGCTCACACGTTGCTTAAGATCACCCTTGATCCATTCATCGCTGGTTTGAAGTACAGATGATTCAGATTTGTTGTTTTACACACTTTGATCTACGGTGCCATACAGTTATGAAGCTTATTTGTGTGCAGCAGCTCAGTATAATACAGTGTTTGATAAGTTCACATCAGAAACCTTCAGGGATGCTTTGATTCAACTTTTTCTTTCCCGATAGAAATACTTGTCCAAACCTTGTGCTCTCCTTTTGAAATATACAATCTATTCATTGCAATAGGTTCCACCGCTGGGTTTGAAAGACGTGTTATCTTTAAAAGTAAAAAAAGCCAAAATCACACCATTTACCATAGAAATAAACTGTAAAAACTTTCCAACAGTCCTTGAACTACTCATGTGTGACGCTCTGTTCAGTTGGAAACTCATGTGAATCAAAGCTTAAAACCGGGATGTTTCATAAGATAAAGATAAAATGATTTTTTTTTTGATCACTCACTGTGGAAATTTACAAAAATTCGTTCTGCATTTGCCTAAAGAGACTCATGAAGTCACGAGTGACTCAGCTGCAACCAACAGTCTCATGACAAAAATCAAGGGATTTTTTTTTAGCTGACCTGGGTTGAACTGCAGGCTGTGTTTATGCAGAGCAGACAGAAGACAAGTATGGAACAAATTAAAGATGTAAGTAATAAAATGTAGTATGTAGAACCACAATGTTTATTATTTTTTTCCAGTTTAGCAACACCTGTGCACACTTGTTGATCAAATTTGTTCATTCTATTTTTTATGGGCTTTTTTTGCCATTTTGATTGTGTTGTTCTGCATGAAAGACATTTTTGAGTTCTCTCTACTTCTTGTCATGGTTGTGCTGTTTCCATGGAGGTGCAGGACTTTATAAAACAGTGAAAAATGGCTCTACAGTGATCACAGATCTGACTGGAAACTGTTTGGGGCTTAGAGGGTTAACTCACATGAACAGGGGGATAAAGGCGGCTGTGTTCTGCTTCACCCTTTCTGATTGGTGCATTCAACAGTCACACTCACAAATCTCCCCAAAGACAATAAAATCCTCTGCAAAAATCAAAGGTCTATTGTCTGATTTAAGTGTACAACAGTGGTCTACCCTGTTTCTTCTTCCGTCTATTCATTTTTATTTTTATTTTTTTAGCACAGCAGGCCAAATGTCCTTTGGCTCTGCAACTTACCTCAGCTCGTCCTGGTGATCCCCTCGAGCTCCCCGCTCACCAGGGAGATATAATCCCTCCAGCATGCTCTGGGATGAGGCCAGAACACCTCTGAAAGGAGGTGGAAAAATGACATTCTTGTTTTTGATAGAAAGCCAGCATAGACTGCAGCAGATGCCCCCAGAGTGCAGGCCAGTCTCACAAAACCTTTTTAACAAATTACCACAAACCCGCCACACAAGGGCCTTAGGGATTCCCTCAAACACCTGAGTTGTTAGGCAGTATTTTGCATTGGTCTGGAGACGACTGTTGTATTTGCGATAAATGTGGAAGCCCCAAAGTCACAGCTCATGGTACGGAAAAGGTTACATCAATAGTACTTTTAACAACTGTCAGACCTCTGCAAATGATTTACTGTCCAGCTGCTCAATAAAAGACTAAAAGAATCTCACTTTGCACTCTATTAATCTCTTCAGGAACATCACCACATCCAGGCACTCCTGTTGAACTCCTTTATTTACAGTTTTGAACTTCTCTTTCTGTGCCGCCAGCATCTTCAGTGCACCATCCAGGCTTTACAAGATGAGCTCAGGATCCAGCGCGATCTCAACCAGCTCTTCCAGTCCGATTACTCCGAGTCCGGCCACCTCAACCAGTCCATTCCTCCTCAAGAAATGACAGAGGAGAACTTCCTGCGTCTCCACGGCGAGTACGAGCGGCAGGTCAAGGAGCTTTTCCTCCTGAGGAAGACTGTAGAAGAAATGGAGCTGAGGATAGACACACAGAAACACACACTAACTGCCAGGTAATCAGTGTGACATTTATGATTTCACCGACCTCTGACTGCCAGCATTTCAAGTTTTAGCCCTGTTTTGTTCTTTGTTTCTTTTGTCTTACAGGGATGAGTCAATAAAGAAGTTACTGGAAATGCTACAGAGTAAAGGCCTGTCCGCACGGGCCACCGAGGAGGACCACGAACGTACGAGGCGACTGGCCGACGCTGAGATGACCATCCACCAGCTGGAGGGTCTGCTGGAGCAGAGAGACAAAGAGATGCTACAACTCAGAGAGGTGATTTGTGCAGAACAAACAATGTGCAGTCGAGCATTTCCACGCGCACAGAGGTGTGTCTTGTGTCCAGATGTGAACACATTCACATCAAAAGTGTGTCACGTCCAGGCGAGGCCGTTGGCTGCTTCCACTTTTGGCTCACACTTCAGTTTAATGCAACACAGAAACATCCACACATGCAGAAATGAGAAGGAATTCACACTTTATCCTGTTGTCTCCGCTTACGCTTCTTTTTTCTGCCTACGTTGTCTCTTTTTTGAGCATCTCTTTCAGCTGTTTTAACTTTCCAGTCATGAAGCCGTTGTTGTTTTATACAGCAGCTCCCTCTAGTGGTAGGAAGCTGTTAGTGAACAACAAACTCAGCTTTTCAGTGTATTTATTGCAAATTCCACTGTTCCTTATTTTCAGAAGCAACAATTCACAAATATTTGTTGACTTTTTGTTCACCTTTTAACACAATATTCATTTCCCCTACAGTTCACGGTCCTGAATAATCTGACAGAATGAAATGAATGGAACATTAATCATATTGAACTGCAAGAGATTAACAGACAGAAGGGAAAAGTCATAGAGTAAAAATCTGTGTGAAGATTTTTCAGTCTAAAAAGTGTATTTATCACTCACAGATAGTCTTCAGTGTTGCAGATGTTCATGTCTCAGAAGAACAAACAAGCAAAACAATTATGTTGGCCAGCAATATAAAAATAAATGTGGCGAGCATGCACAACAAAAAATATCTTGATTCTACTTTGATGGTGTTCACATCGACCAAAGGATTTTTAATGGACAAATACATTGTAAAATGACATATGTGATACTAAATGATAAACCTAAATGTATCAGAGACAACAAATGACTAAGAAAGAGACATAGGAAGCATTTTGTTTTTCTCACAGAGGGTTGAAAACATCATTAGGAGACACAGCGTTACAAACTTTCAGCATATTCTCTGGTCCATGTTTCCTCACATTGCATCAGTGTGCTGGACAGAGTGTCTATTTTTAGACAGTGTTTGACAATAGACAGTGTTGCAAAGCAGAAAGCATCTCAGGAGAACTAGAATAAGATTATGCAATGTTTGAAAGTTGATTTCAGTATAGGTTAAAGTGAAAATGACAGTGTTAAATAATGTAGAAGTTCCTGTTAAGCATTTTGTCTCGCTAACTTCCTGCTATAGTGCTGGCAGTTCTTTTAATGGAACATTGTTAATTTCGCTAATTAACAAACTGTGCAACTTCCTACAGCAGTATTTCCACATCTTCAGCAACGTCCCCCGAGGTGACGGAGCTGGTGTGCAGTTATTTAAAGTGGGACTTTTGTGGAGAAACTCATGAACACTGTAAAGATTAGAATCTGGGCTACTGGATGTATAATTGTGAAATTCAACCACCCAATTGTAAAAATTCCAGTCATCCATTATCTATACACCACTTAATCCTCACTGGGGGACACCCTGGACAGGTCGCTAGTCTATCGCAGGGCTACACTTAGAGACAGACAACCAAGCACACTCACAGTCACACCTACAGACGATTTAGAATCACCAATTAACCTCAACATGGTTTTGGACTCTGTGGGAGGAAGCCAGAGAGAAAAAAACATACAAACACCACACAGACAGATCTCAGGTGTCCTCACCGGGATGCGAACCTGCAGCCTTTGTGCTGCGAGGCATCGGTGCTACCAACTGCGCCACCTTGCACCCCTTGGTAAAACTCAATCAGTGAAATTTAGAATGCCAAAACATTAGATGTAAGTATGTTAGTTAAGCAACAACTGCTTTATGTGGTCTGGGAAGTTTAGATGAGCTCAGGGTGTTTAAATTTGTTTTTGAAGACATGGATGTATACCACTCAACTGCAGATGTTTTTCTACAGAATTACAGAATTCACCAGACAAACCGTACCGTATTATTTATAATGGCGATTTACCTGGCTAATTAAAACATTAAATCCTACAAAACTGTATATAGAAAATGCTACAAAGCCAAAGATCCCCTATACATGAGCATATTTCTGACAGTGGAAACACATCCAGCAGGATTAGGCTCAAGGAGGGAAGACGCCAACAAACACTGAACACCAGAACTGTGCAGCTCCAGAGCCAGAAATACCTGCAGAGATATACAGAAGAAGGAAGAATGAAGCACAACTATAGGAGAGAACAGACAGAAAGTTAAAAACATGCAGTAGTAAATTCATGAGGAAGGATGAACATGTAAAGTCATCTATATGAACAGGATCGCTAAGGTGAAGCATATTAGAAAGCATATTAAAGCTATAAAAGCAAATGAGAAAACAGTGAAATCAGGCAATAAATCAAAAGCAGGGAGATAAAAAGAAACTTAGTGGAATTGACTGGAGCAGCCTCAGGAAGAACTAAAAGCAATGTAAAAAAAAAAAAAAAGACGAGCATTTAATTTTAATTTGAAATCGCCAATGGTGGGACAGAATTTAATGGGTGTGGGTGGAATAACCAAAAAAGACAAAAAGAAGTTATTTTTGGTTTTTAGGCATAAGAGGGAGATTGAGAAGAGTAACTGTGATGATGATGATGATGATGATGATGATGATGATGATGAAAGTGGCCTGGAGACAGAAAATAGAGTTCACATGTTGATGGTGCATTGTGGAGCTACATCATTAAGAGCTTCGTTACTAAACAGTGAAAGTTTAAACTCATTGTGTGTTGCAGATGAGCTGGAAGTGGGGTGATGTGCCGTCTTTTATTTGTACCCGTTAGGAGCCTGACAGCTGTAATCTGAACCCACATTGGACTGTGTTAGTATCATATACAGGGACTTATAGTGGTCCAATCGCGAGCAAATAAGTGCATAAATAGCAGTTTTCACACCTTGTTAGATCAACAGCTGACCCTCACAATGCTGCTAATTTGTTTATTAAAGGAGTCAAGTGTCCTGCACATTTTCACTGAACTGTGCTTCCTTTTGCTTCTAATCCATCGTTACTTAAGCTGTTATGTACTTTCATGCAGCATCAGATCTAGTATCTGATTACCAAGCAAGAAATGTTTTACCAGAGAATATCTAAGTGTGTTGTCATGGACGTCCGTCTCATCCTGCCTCTAGCGATGGCACCCTACCATCCCTTTCACATATGTGACTTTTTTGAAGCTTTCTGGCTAATGCATTAGCTGTCTTTGTTAGCCTCTAAGTGTGTTTCCTCCAAAGAGAGGCAGCGATGCATACACTGCTGTGTCCTCCCCTCTGCTTTCATTGCCTCCCTCTCTTTCTCTGCCTCCTTTCTTTCTCTTTTTGTGCCTTTACATCTACAGCTACACTCCCCCTTCCTTTTCTCCCCTTTTTGCTCTCACTTCATTTGACGAGTGAGTTGTGATGTGGTAACGACTCAGAGGAAGAGAGGATTTAGTTTGCATTTTGCTCACTAAATTCAAAATTTTGGAAAAAGAATTTTCGGAAAGAAATCTAGCGTAGCTCTACCGAACTGTTTCAGTTGTATTTTAGAAGTTAGAGGCTTCTGTGTGCTGCTGCAGGAGATGCTGTACTTTGATTTTAAAGCATCTGAAGCCATGAGACTGGATTTTTTCATTTGATTTTTAATCATTTGGTTCAGTTTGGACTTTTAAACGACTCTACATTTCATTTAAACCCATAGACACTGAAGCTCTGCAGCTAATTCATTGGATTAGCATCATTTCAGGCTGTCAGATTTGATCACTCGTTGACATTTGAGGCTGAAACGGTGTCAGCAGCGACATTCCTTGCAGCTCCAACGATGTGGGACGGCCGGATCGACCCGCGGAGGCTAAAAGCCAGCTCTTGTACTTCCAGAGGGAAGCATCTCCATCCTGCCTCCCCCTCCATCCCCATCTCTCCCTCGTTCCCCGTCTCTCCCTCCATCCCTATTCCACCTCCTTTCCATGTGTCGCCTCCTTTCCAGCCCACTCCTCCGTTCTCCCCATGCCGCCATCCCCCACTACGCTCCTCTCCCTCCTTCCCTGCTCCTTCCCCTCCCTCCCATCGCCACCCCATCCATCCTATCCCTTTCTCCTGTCCTCCCCACTTCCCCTCCTTCGTGGTCGCCTCTTCCGTCCATCATTCCCACCATCCTTCCCTCCAGCACTCTCCGTCCTTCCCCGCTCCCTCTCCTCGGCCTACACCCACCATCCAGCCCTCCCTCCATCCCTTCCCAGCAGCAGCTCTCGCCTCCTCCCCCGGCCCTCGACCTTCTCCTCCTCCCCCGCTGCCTCCCTCTGTGTCTCTCTCACCCGTTGACCACCGTGGTGTGTTTGTCCCTCAGGAGCTGCACAGGAGATACGAAGCAGCTCCAGAATCAACTAAGACCAAGGCCCTGCAGACGGTCATCGAGATGAAGGTAAACACATGTTGTTGATGTGACTCTGTGTGTGTGCATCATATCAAAATCTGTCAATTTGGTCATACAACACATTTATTGAAGCTTGTCTTTAACCCTCTGAACCCCAAAAATTGCCAATGGCTTGGAAAGGCAGGTTATATTTAATACATTGCTCAAGTGAAACCGTTTATCGCAGCCAAAAACTGTAAAAACTAAAAGAATCAGTGGATTCTCAACTTTCTGACCAATTCTTGAACCACTTACACACTGTGATGTGCCATTTTGTATGAAAACACAAATAAATCTTAGATTAAAATCACAATATTATATCAAAATCACTCTGAAGAGCCAAGCTCTTGTTTCATATGCGTTTTTTAATTTCTCTTTGCTATTTGATCTGATCAAATAGCAAAGAGGAATAGAAAATAAAAAAATAAAGAAAATAAAAATATATGTAAAAAAATATATTAAAAAATATTTAAATAAGAATAAATAAATAACAATAATAAAATAATAATCCATACATTATCTATACACCGCTTAATCCTCACTAGGGTCATGGGGGGCAGGAACCTATCCCAGTTGACTTAAGGTGAAGGCAGGGGACACCCTGGACAGGTCGGAAAATAATAATAATAAAAATATAAACACATACAAATAATTAACTACTTTGGTAATATAACCCAAAATGGGATGTCCATGCATGTGGACACCAGGTCTTAAGAGGTTATGATACATGTCATCATCAAAAGAGTTTGCTCTAAGAAAGCTCTGTAAGAAGCTACAAAATCTGCAGTCCTGAAGCCATTAAGGGACTTAGCCGCAATAAACAGTCAAAAATTCATTTTTTTCAGCTGAAATGCAGGCTGTGTATGGAAACAGTTAAAGTTAAACATCTATATGGAGTCACCACTTCCTTCCAGTATTGGCAACATCTCGTAAGCACTTGAAATTATTAGTATTTTTTGATTCAAGGTTTTTGTAATTTTTGTAAAAAAAAAAAAAAAAATAATAATCTCATTATACCTTTGCCATACTGTAAACAAAACATTTGTGATTTCTCTCTACATTTAACCATTGTTATGCTGTTTCCAGAGAGATGCAGGACTTTATGTTGCAGTGAGGCCCAAAACCTAAAATGTGTATAAATGATACCTGAATATGTAGTTTTAATTTAATGCTAACTGTGCACTGTTCTGTTAGACTGTTATTCTGATAGTTACAACAGTTAATTCTCAATGCGTGTATTTATTTTTACTGTCATTAGCGACAAAATCTGAATATTTGCTGGAAAAAAATGGCATACACAGACAAAAATAATAGAAAATTTATTCTGCATCATAAAGACTTAGTTTTTCCTCTCGTGTTCCTAAATAAACATGTTCAAGCTGCACTTATTTACTACTCATCAGTCATTTGTATAAACCAGGGGTGTCCAGTCCTGGTCCTCGAGGGCCACAATCCTGCATGTTTTAGATGTTTCCCTCTTCCAACACACCTGATTCACATGATCAGCTCATCATCAAGCCCTGCAGAAGCCTGATAACGAGCCTGATCATGTCAATCAGGTGTGTTGGAAGAGAGAAACATCTAAAACATGCAGGACTGTGGCCCTCGAGGACCAGGACTAGACACCCCTGGTATAAACGATTTGCCTTTGATTTCCAGCTTTAGTCAAAAGTTTGACTAAAGTCTGCGTCAGAAATATATCTTGTCAAACCCACAACATTAACTTTAAATTAGTTTTTCTGTCAGCCTCCTAAATGTTGTTAAAAGAAACAGTTCTGGTAAATTAAAGGGTTCATAGGGTTGAATTAAGTGTGCATGATTCAGACTTGTTCATAACAGTACACGTATTTTTGTATTGTTCTCTTAAAAGCTAGATATTATACATTGTTTGACATATAGTATATATGAAAAACAAGCCTTTGAATTCTGTTTGGAAGTCAGTATTAGCGTTTCCTGCCTTGAACAACATGCACGTTCGGAGTCGTTCAGATCTTACCTTTCATGCGGGCTTCCTTTGATTGCATTTTCAAACACCGCTCATCATCCAGAAGCACCAAAGTGCCACATTTCGTTTTTGATTAGTGGATCAAACCCGGCCTCGTCTCCTAACATGTGTCCGTTTGTGTCCTGCCAGGATGCGAAAATCAGCTCGATGGAGCGCGGCATGAGGGAGCTGGAGGAGGAGGTGATCATGCTCAAGTCCAACGGAGCTCTGAGCAGCGAGGAGAGGGAGGAGGAGATCAAACAGATGGAGGTCTACAGATCCCACTCCAAGTTCATGAAGAACAAGGTGACGGATGCACACACACAAACACATCGACATACACACACACATTTAGTCCAGGCAGGAAGTGTTTGGAAAGTTGCACATTTTCTTCTCTCTGGCCTTCAGCACTGTCAGTTTGAAATGCAAGAATGGACTTTAAATTAAAGTGTCAAGTCTCAGCTTTATTTTGACTGCATTTATGTCAGTATTCAAATAACTGTATGTGGGATGTTGCCCTTTTAACGCATTAAACTTGTTTTTATCAGCAGATTTATACCATTATTCATGAACAAGAGCGCTCACGTGTGGCTAGGAGTTGATCAAGAGTTTTAAATTGTCATTTAGATTGAGAAAGGATATTAATATGTTAGTATGCAGAATAATGAAGAGACCATACAGATATAAAAGACAACAGTAAAGCTTAAAAAAGCAAAAGCCTGTCAGAATGATCCACAGACTGATAAAATCATCCTCTACTCAAACTATGTAAAGACTGAAGCAGAGAAAAATAGGAACATACAGCAAACACTGTGGTAGCTCTGTTAAAACATAAACATATGCAAAAGCAAAATTTAATGAAATAACCGATCAGTTAAACGTAGATTCCGTTTACTGAGGATGAGACTAACATTTAATAACTCACTTTACTGAGGACCAGAATAACATTTCAGTTGATGTCTACGTTCTGTTAGTGTCAAACTTCAGGCACTTATTATTGTCCTGTAAAAGATTTTCCACTAAATACTAAATCTGATGATCTTCTTTGACCTCATGTGTGTTTGTCCACTACTTTTTAAATCCCTTATCTTTGTGGACTACTTGTAAAAAAGGGCTACACTGTAAATTCTATATTGATGTAAACCTACGCAGCTTAAAGCGAAGATCTGGCACTTTAATGCATCGTTTTAGTTTTAATTGAATGGAACAAAAAGTGTGACCCAGTACCGTGTGTCTATAATGTACATGCTTGTCTCATCATTTGTTTGTTTCATCATTGTTTTTGTTTTTTTGCTTAGTCAAGAATAACTTTTGCTTTTTGCACATTAACTTTAGTTTCAGGATTACAACATGTCTGTGGGAGCTGTGCTCATTGAAACAGGGACTTCAGTGTTTCTGTCATGTGTGGAGGCGATGCATTTTGGAGTTTTGCTTGTCTGAGCTGAAACTGATTGCTTTAGTGGCTTTGTATGTCACCTTGTCTTACAGGAACTTACAGGGAGTCTTAGCATGTATTCTTACAGTAACACACTAAATGTTATAACCCTCTGAACCCAAGGGAGTTTCTGACATTTTTACTCACTCTAGGCTCATTTTTTACTGCAAT